AAACACACACACACACACACTCTAAACACACACACACACTGTAAACACACACACACACACACACACACACACACAGTAAACACACACACTGTAAACACACGCACACTGTAAACATACACACACACACTGTAAACACACACACACACACACTGTAAACACACACACACACTGTAAACACACACACACACACTGTAAACACACACACTCTATCGAGTATTTAAATGAGCTGTTTTGAAATAAATCATCTCATTATATTAAAGAGTATGACTGACCAACAGGGGCGCTAACAGCTCTGCACAGAGTGAAGAAATGAGAGTTGGTGGTAACTGCGCCGCAGTATTTATAAGAGATGTGACGCTCAAACATTCCAGTGATCAGGAAACACTTCCACCCCTTCAAAAATAAGCTCTGTAAATATGATTATTATAAATATGACTCGGGAGGTCATCCTGCCTCGCTCCGTTCAGGGAGAATCTTTGTTTGAAACGGTGAAGCTCTCTCGATGTTCAGAGAGTGTCCACTTGATAAAGAGTCTCCTCGTCTTTCTGTGGACAGAACCGGTCAGTGGACCAGCAGATCATCACAGCTTAAACTTTGTGAGTCAGACGTTCAAACAGAACCTGGTCTGGATCGGGACTTGTTCATAGTTTACTTTTTAAATCGGCTGTAAAGTTTATTTGATGAATTATTACCTCGTCTCTGAACGCAGACGTATAAAATCAGACTAAAGAATGTCAGTGAGCGGGAAACAGGAACGAGAACCCAGAATGTTTATTTCTGTTATATCTCTTTTTAGAATGGGTGTGTATGTGACTTCCTGTGCTTTCTGCAGTCAGCCTCTAGTGGACACTCCAGGAACTGCAGGATTTTAAACTGGATGTTACAGACTCCCTCCTCTCTAGCTCCACCCTCCTATCCAAATATGGTCACTTCCTGCCAAAATGTTTTAAATATGAAATCAACAACCCGGTTATTGAGATGTTTTCAAGTAGACGTCGTTTTTTAAGGTTTCGGTTTGTTTCCATATCATCGATCATTAAATAAAACTCAGAGCGTGTCATTTTAAAACTCAGGGTTTGAATAAAGTGGAAGTATGGAAGATTTTGAGACCTCGGTCTGTTTGTTGTATCAGAGGTTCTGGTATCGGTTGATTTAGAATCATAGCTCAGAGTTCTGGTTCTTTAAATGAAACTCTGATAAAGGATCTATCTGAACTCAG